AAACTTGAAAAGTGGAAAACTGTGTATTTTATGGTCTTTATGGAATGTGGATGCAATATTAAGACTTCTTTGACTTATTTACTCTTCGCATTTTCGCTATAAACCTACTTGTTTGGGAGCTACATGATGTAAAATGTACACCGGAAGTAATTTTTCCATAGGCTGTAACTCCTAAACGAGTGGGTTTATCGAAAAAATGTCAAGAATAAAAAAGTTTTTAAATATCCTGTTCTATCCGAAAACATGATAAAATATAGGGTGTTCCGTAAGAAATTTCAATGTTGGCCGCCATTTTCCCAAAATGGCGGCTGAATTTCGAAAAAATAAAATCATATTTTTAACTGCCACAAAAAATAAAGGAATGTCCCCCATTTAAAGTTTTCTCTAATTCTTACCGTTTCCGATATCCCAATGGTGGCCTCCTTGAGTTGATCACCCTGTATATGGACATCATCAATACAAATTCCTAGTTGAAAACCTCATTTGAAGTGCGGCTTATCGAAGATTTAAATAAAATAGAGCATATGTCCTTCGACCCCTTATATCACATTCAGTATTTTTCCAAAACCTGCGCCACCTCATATAATTAGTTGAACAATACAGTACTTTTTATTGTTCATGCTGGCTAGTAATTGTTATTGTTCATGGTACCTTTAGTCACCAATGCGATTAATTGATGAAGTAATGATATACCTGTTATGTTTCTCTATCCATCAGTAAAAATTGTGTCAACTATTTCTGTTGTACGTTTTAATTTACGGTAAAAATAAACTAAAAGACTTGATTCAATACTGAACGTGCAATGTAGAACACTGGGTGTCGCGGTCAGTGTCTAGTGTTAAGTGTCCAGTGATACAACCAGAGTGGAGGACGAGGACGAGGACGGGTTTGTCTATGACGAGGACGGGCTAGCAGAGGCGAGGTCTCAGCGACCCACCGAAGATGAGCAGCTTCTGCTGGAAGGTACACTGGTACACTCACATAATACAAATATTGCATTTCATTTGAAACCTAGACAATGTGACTTTAGATGTAGCTGTCACCCGAGGGGACTATTGTTGTACTTCCGTTGCAATCTTGCCGCTACAACATCGTATAATGTCAGTCTGTGTTACTTCGGTAATTATATTTTGTTTATCTTGTTTATTTACTATCGCAAACATATTCAAACACTTTTAGAACCAACAGTATTATTACATTGTACAATAAATACACCGTATTGCATACCGTACATCGTTGGGTACATGGATACTATTTTGCTCTGTTTTACCAGTGTTACCCATTTTGGAGGAAATGTTACGCAGAGGAATGGAGTTGAACAATTACTCTGACAGTTCCTTAAACCCATCATTCTGAGACGTGTGTTCTCTTAACTTGTGGGAATACAAGTATAATTTTTGGTGTTTATCTCACACTAAAAATATAACCAATATTTAGTAAATATTTTTTTCTATCAAAAAAGTCATGAATAAGGGATAAGTTTTGTGATGCGGTGTTTCAAAATTATACCGGGTGTTTCAAAATGACTCACCCGGTTTTAACGCTTTATAACTTTTATACTATTAAACTTACCGCTATGAAATACACATCAAACGAAAAAGTAACTCAAAGAGTTTATGCCTACCAAAGACACATTATTTAATAAAATCGATCCAGCAGAATTGTAGATTTAATTGTACAAAGTTAAAAAGTTATCTCCAACTTTTTTTAGCACTAGAAATTTGGAGGTTACTTGACGTTTTTGCAAATAACTTTTAAATGGTGAGGAAATCGACCAAAGTGGAAGGTAATATTAAGAAAGAGAATAAAATTTCCTACAATCTACTATTAAGCATTTTTTGAAAATACTCAAGGAAAGTACCAAAAATTGCTTAAAAATGAAAAAAATTGAAAATCCCCGTCTTCAATGTAGACAATAGACATAGCAAACATTAAATTTCACACTTTTTTATTTTAAGGAAAATTTAGGCTACATTTATTGAGTATTTTCAAGAAATGCATAATAGTAGATTGTAGGAAATTTTATTCTCTTTCGGAATATTACCTTCCACTTTGGTCAATTTCCTCACCATTTAAAAGTTATTTGCAAAAACGTCAAGTAACCTCCAAATTTCTAGTGCTAAAAAAAGTTGGAGATAACTTTTTAACTTTGTACAATTAAATCTACAGTTCTGCTGGATCGATTTTATTAAATAATGTGTCTTTGGTAGGCATAAACTCTTTGAGTTACTTTTTCGTTTGATGTGTATTTCATAGCGGTAAGTTTAATAGTATAAAAGTTATAAAGCGTCAAAACCGGGTGAGTCATTTTGAAACGCCCGGTATTTTACAACATAAAACCTTGTAAACAGTGGTTTCAGGAAATACTTGTTCTTGTTTGGAATGATATTTGAAGGTTTCAAACACCCTACAACGTATTCTCAGGTTTATTGTTGCACCGAGAGTCGGAGTGTTTTATTATTTACTGTTTTTTAGCTTTCTAGTCAAAGAATTGAATATTCTCTGGTTCTTATCAATGTTATGACTACTGTATAATATTTCGACGTAGACCGTTGTTGCACCAGACGTTGATTTTTGGAGAGGAGTTTCTGGACCCGTTCCAGGCCTAGGTTGTGTCATGCGCTATTACAAGCATTTCCGTTCACAATATTTCTAGCGTGCATTTCCATTTCAACTGACTTTCTTTGGAATACGTATTTACAAAAGCATCGATAAAGTTTATGAAAATTATATAACAATATTTACGTATATGACCTGTGGAGGTTTAGGTGAAGTTTAAATGTTTACAAGCTTACATAGCTTAAGTTGTACACATTTAATTTTTGTACATGAAGTTTAAAATTATGTTGCCATTTTCGATGTACCACTAAGATATTTTTTATGTTTTTACTGTTTAGGACAACCTTTGTAAAGTCTTAACTCAATAAATATGCTCATTAACTATGTTCAAAAGTAATGCAAACTATAGTAACCTGAAAACGTTAAGAAGTTAGTCCCTTTATGGACATTGTTTAACCAATCGAACATGGCTTGACAATGCAATACTGAACTTTTTTAGAACCTATATGATGCCATGAATTGAGTTCCAGCCCCGACGCACCGAGTTGCTTGGTCACCATTAGACTACTAAGCGTACAGTATTGAGTTAGTCGAAGTCGAGATACAATGATGACAGGAATGTGACATTGTGTTACAAACAGCGCTGGGCTCGGGCTGTGACGTGACGCTGAACTTATTAGATTGGGCCCATTGTATGGCCGAGATCTTCATCTCTGTGGGTCTTAGCGTTCATTGTTCCTCCAGTGAACAGTGAGTGAGGAAATAGACAAACTACAAGGACACCATCGGACCTACCACGTGTTGATTTACCAAGGCGCTTAACTGTATGGACAACTTATCAACACTCTTCCATTATTTAATTTTGGCATCGATCATTTCTCTCAAAACACCGTCAAAGTCAGAGTATTACCTTTGACTATTGATACAACAACTTCTGTATCCAATAGGTAGTCAATGGTATTACTGTGTCAGCTTTTTGCTTGTTTTTAAAATCAAAGACTGATATTATTAAAGGTTATAGCTTATAGTAAAGTTAACATTTAAATCAGGACATTCCAGGAAAGGAAGCTAATTATCCAGCAACAAATAAGTAAGAATGGATTTAAACTGTTTAGTTAATTTGATGTAGTAAAACGATTACGGAAAGTAAATAAAAGAAACGTCTTATAACACTTAAAACACGCGTATACTGTTACTCACAAGATGGTAAATATACAAAAAAGATGGAAAGTGGTGATCGATTTCGATTGGACACTCCAATCATCATCAGACTCAATAGGCGAATTCGTAATAGTGTAGTAGTAGCAGTGCGGCGTTATTAGACCGCAGTATTGAGTCTCCATGGTCTTCAGTAGGCTTCCATATCAGCCTCTTGTATCACTTTCCTTTCCTCTCTTCATTTTGAACATGTCATATATATATATATACCTACTTTAGTCACAAATAGAGTGAACAACTGACAACACCAATTTATACTCGCAAATTTAAATTTTACGCTCCTCACCAATCATCAAACCCGTTATACTGTAAATTGTATTCGTTGGTTGATCGAATGAGGTAATACAATTACTCAATTAATACACCAGTGCTGTCTTAAATCAACATAAAGAAATTTGAGTTATTCTCTTTGTGGTTGTCATAAGCGGTTACCATATTTTGAAACTTACAATGAAACCATCATAATAATAATTTAATGTACTCATTATTATTTTGATTTTGATGTGATTTTTTATTTTTTTAAATTTGGTTTGCTAGATTGGTTGATTATAACTTCTGTTAGCCATTGCGGCAGCGCATGCGTTCACCCCTACCCCCGGTACGAGGTCCTCCCCCTCCCCCGCCACCCCTTAAACACGGCTGCTGAGAGAATCAATACGACTCGCTGATGAAGTAGGCTTTTTAAAAAACAAAGATTTATATAATTTTCTTTATTTCTTAGTGGTTTCTTTCGTGTGATTTCAGCCATGTGTTAGTTTGTATTGGTGTTTCATACGGAAAGTTGAAGTGTAAATATTACATCAGTCGATAAAAGGAGTGTTCTACTCTTCGGTTGTTTTCGGTAATTTTTTGATATTTTTAATTTGTATAGTTCTCTCTATTATTTGTAAAAAGTGTTTACGTTAAGAAATATACTTGATTGTAAAATACCGGCCACTTTAATACTTACTGGCAATGCATTACTTAATGCTTAAAATATTCACTTCCTCTTTTCATGGTTTATTTAGCTAATCATTTTTAAAACAAATTTTATTTGGTTATTCATATACAGTCGATTATGTAATTGTGGGTGAATATATAATGTGAATAAAATGTGTTACTGACATCAAATTTCCAAATGGTGTTTTTAATATGACGTTCCCACCATCCATTCTAACACATCCAATGTATCCAAACAAATTATTCATTTTATTTCATAGGTAATTTTTAATTTTTTTTTGCAGTTCTATGCAGCAACCGTGTGAGCCAAATGACAAAGACCTACAATGACATAGAGGCTGTCACGAGACTTCTTGAAGAGGTATGTAAATGTTTAAAGATCCATAGATTCTTTGTAGAGATACATTCTCTGCGTATACTCATGGGACTACCTACCTTATATGTTGACCACCGTTCTTTGCAGAGAAACACTCTCATGGATTACCTGTATTCCAACAGTTACAGTAGGCTACTTGTACTAGGATAGTTGAAGCAATATGGAGTGCTACACAAAAATATGGATAACAAGAAAGTCTCCTTATTCAATCAAATAAATTGTTGTGTAAACCATAAATAATAATTTTTGACAAATTTCATAAATTAAAAATAAACCAGTTATTTCTTCAAAATTGAATTGGGATAGCTCCTATAATATTTAGACACATGCTATGCAAAAGTAGTATTCGACTTATGATAAGGTCTAACACTGCAATTTCTAGGTTTAGAGGGGAGGGGGTGGAAGATCAAGGGGTAGAATGGGGGAATTTTGGGAAAATACACCTCTCATGTGGTTCTATCACATATAAAAATCCAGCTTTCCACCATTAGTTGCGATAAAAAAAACCTTTATTTACCGGGCTGATTATTTAATTTGAATATTATGGTTAACATTGGTGTATATAGCAATGTATAGGATATTAATGAATTTGTATATTAAATTGAAATAGTATTGTATTGTACACTCTTTTTTTCATTCTTGTACCTAATTTTTTTTCACTGATTTTAAAACGGAAATCAAAGTTTCATAGCCCTAAATAGTGCTATTACTTTTCGGGACCCTTATGAATTGAATTGTTGTCATAACGACTCATTGTGCACACCGCTAGATTTTTGTGGAAAATGTTCAGGAAGTTTTGTATTAAAATATAAGTTATATATACAGTTAGAAAGGTAATATTCTGACAAAAATGTGTATGTAAGATTTTTTCAGCTACATGTAACAGATTCCATGATACTTAGCAAAATGATTCTAAAATATGCAAATCAAAAACAAAAAGATTAATAAAAGATATAAATATTCATAGTATATTCTCAATCTAAATAATGATGTAAATTATACCATCGGAAAGCTATTTTTTTTTCATGATTAATAAACACTAAAAATGTGGAGCAATATTAAAATATGAACCCGAATTATATAGGGAAATTTTGAAGCGTGTCACACAACTTTGGCGGCCATATTGATTACGTCATCAACACCCATAGAGTGCCAGAAAAGGCGTCCTGGACTTCTTAGACTCGTCTACCCATGTACTATCTAAATCCAAAGGGGTGCATTAGTTGCCAGATGTGAAATATTGTTGGATCATTTTAGCTATCTTACCCCACTAAAAGGACTATAAAAGAATTTGTGTTATGAGCCAGGGTATGGTTTGTTACACATTTCCATATCTTATTTAGGTCTCCTACCAATTAGTATTCTAGATGTTGTTAAGACACCCATTAATTGCCGGACTACATCCTTATGTGATTATATGTATAAATCATATTAAAGTATATCCTATGCTAGTCACTGAGAAAATTGCCATCTCAAAATGTTACTCTACATAGTCATTTTACACCCCAAATTTGGCTTTTATCCACTTTTTTATAGCAGCGTTAAATGCAAAATATTGTACACATGAATAAAACCTATCCCGAACAGAGCTAAGATTTGTGGTAGAAGTTAAGTCAAAGTGACTGCTAACGAACAAGTATTCATTGATTTAGAACAATTCTATCTTGGTATGAATAAATTACCTTGATATATAATACAACAATTAATTCTTTTTCTTTTGTCAAATTAGAGTGTACAACATATTCCAGAAAGCACTTAAGGCCGTTATCTAAATTGAATGTCTAAATTTCAGAAAGAGAAGGACATAGAGCTCACAGCTCGTATTGGCAAGGAGCTTCTAGCTCACAATCAGAAACTTGAGGCAAATGTTGCTTCTTTAGAGTCTGAGCTAAGAACTGCCAATGAGAAGATCACTCAACTCACTCATGAACTGGTCAAGAAGACTGAGCTGATACAGATATTAACCAATGATGTGGAGTCAGAAGGAGGATCAGAGCCGGGTAAACAAAAATTTCTGTCATTCTTCATTTAAGACATACATTTACTTGGATTCTTTTTTTGCCATAGGTATTTAAAAAGTAAAAAAAAGAGTTCTTATATTATACCTGCTCAGACAAATTTATTCGGTACATTTCCAGGAAACACGTTTCAAGAATTCATCTTCATTTGAGGGTTTTAATTTTAATATCCTAGAAATATTGCTTTTGTTTTTGCTATTTTACTATGACCTGTTTCACATCTGTGGCTGCCGGGAGTTTAGGAAAGGTGGGGACAAGGAAAATTGGGAACACGGAAAGTTAGGGACAAATAGGGGTGTGACCTGGGGGAAGGGAGAGATTAGCTGAACTAGGCTCTGAAACGGCTCTTGACTCTTTTAAAACGAATTGTTCTCCTGTTTCATTTCACAGAGAGCTACAATAATGGGATTGACTTCAAAATCATAATTTGAATATTTCCAAACGGTAAACCTAAAAGTGTTAAAAGTTAATCAAGTACTGATTGATTCAGGCCTGATCGCCTAGGTTTGCTAGCTTCTTTTTTACACATTTTGGATAAGCTAAATATATATTACAGAAAATAGAAAAGTATTCTATGCAATATTATTACTGAATTTAACGTAATGACACATTGTGTAAGATATGCTGACGTAATTAAGCATTAAAAGCTTAAAATTTGAATATATTTGTGATTGTGTAAGCCTACGATAAACTTTATTAAATAAATTGTATTTTTGTTTGCACATTGTGATTATGGTGAATTTGGTTACTTTTTATGTCTGATGGGCTCGAATTTTATCTCAATTTCTAAATTGGCTGTTGTCGGAAATGCTTAAGAAGACAATAATTTAGACGAAACCTACTTTGGGAAAATTTCAGCACTGATCAAGATTGAATATTTTGACAAATATTTTCCAAAAAAATTAGTGATTTTTTAAGGGTTCAAAATAAAACATTGTTTAATATTGATTTCAGTTTACAAGGCTTCGTAAAAAAGAAAGCAAAATATGTTATGATATCACCCGGTAGTTAAAGATTTTCCGGCCAAGGGATCCCTGGCTGTATCCGTCATGGGATTAAACTCTTTTTTTATATTCACTGAATTGGTGAAAGGTGCATTGTCCCTGAAGCGACTCTTGCGATAGTAGCTGAGCGATAGTAGCTCAGCGATAGTAGCTCAGCGATAGTAGCTGAGTACTGGTTAGCGTTGTTTCAAATGGGACCATTGTCCTTGACGCGACTGCGACTGGAGCGGCTAGCGGCTGAACACAGCGACTGTATCGGGTCTGCTCTGAGGGGAGTCAGAGTCGCAGTCGCTGAGCGATTTGTAGGTGTGGACGGGTTTCGGTCGTAATGTCTTCAAAGAATACTAAACTGTTTTTTACCCATGAAGAAGATATGAGATATGTACATAATGTTAAATCACTACTACAGTAGAGTCCCGCAAACTCGGCACTCGATAACTCGGCAGTCTGGGTAACTCGGCCATCACCTGGCTCAAAAAATTAGTGATTTTTTGAGTCCCAGTTAAACATGGGCTCAAATCAAAGCATTTGCAACTCGTAACAAGGATTTGTTGTACTATATCTGATGACTTAATACCTACTTGTAAAATAGATGTAAATAAATAAGGCAGCTAAAAAGAAAAAAAATTGTATGGTTCTTATTTTTAACCCTAGTTCCCGATAACCCGGCATTTCACAAACTCGGCACCCTTCAAGTCCATATTACGCCGAGTTTGCGGGACTCTACTGTATTATTTATAAATTATAAATATAAAAAAAAACTTTTTCAAAATGCAACATTTTTAAACGCATTAAAAAGTACAACATATGTATTGAATAAATACTTGAAGATTTAAAGAAAAACGTGGGGCGCATACTAATTTTACAATTTATCTTCATCTTATTGAACTACTGTATTATTATCCATTGCATGCGCCCCACGTTTTATCGTTTTAAATCTTACAAGTATTTATTCTCTCCACATATTTATAAATTATTTTTACTTTTTAGTGCGTTTAAAAACGTGGTATTTTTTAAAATTATTTTTATTTATAATTATTTTATACTTTTTAGTCTTTATTGTGTAAATATGTTAAATCTATTTTACATGGCCTGTCAATACATAACCAAACACTTATTATCTGTAATCATATGTTTTATCTTCCTTTGAGCTGCTTATTTTATATTTAGAATCTCTCGGGAGCAGAACCTGTACCTCTTAACCTCTGCCCTTCGAACTGTCAAATTTTAGTATTTACAGCTGACTTCAATTGAAATATTTAGGCCTACATTCTTCCAAAATTTAAACATGAAAAATTTGGAAGCCCATGGGGCTTAGCCCGAGGCGAATATGAAAATTAAATGGTATATTGCATTGTCATCCATTTGTGAGCTATTTTTAAAGTTTCAATTCTCTAGCTCGTCGGGAAGTTAGTTATTGATTGCAAAGTTTGTACCGGACTAAGAAAGTGAGCTAATAAAAACGTTTTAAAATTAGCTGGTGTCATGGCACTACAGTAGCACCAATTCACTCGAAAGTCAACAAACTAATGAACATAATCGCTCTAGAACAATCGCTTCTGGAACAATGACATGGTTAGCTACTATCGCTGAGCTACTATTGCTGAGCTACTGTCGCTCAGCTACTATCGCAAGAGTCGCTTCAGGGACAATGCACCTTAAAATGGCCTAAAGTTATGAATACAGTTTTTGTCTGTAACTCTTTTAAAATAAAACTTGATATATAAACCTACAGGTGTTTATATATTATCTCATCTGCAAAACGCCGCTTGTTTACAATTACATAAATTACCCTTTGTTACTTTTATTTGTTTTAATGTCTTGAATAATTTCTCACACTATTCAATATTTATTTTTATTGATATTTATTGCTCACAATTAACATTTAATTGAAGGAATCAGGAAATATGTTACAATGGTGTCATGTAAATATTTAACTTAAAGTCTGTGAAAACCCAAGAGATTGACCCCAGATGGTACTTGGTACTTTGAACCGAGAATACATTTTTTTCAAAAACCTGTACCGATAACGAATGTGTAAAATTTGTCACTAAACTGATTGTACAAAAGATAATAGTGAAAGTTTGTAAGAAGAAAGCATCCTTAAACAGATCGGCATTTGTTTACAGACAAAATATTATCTCGTCACATTATTGGTATTTGGTAAGTGACGTTTGCAGTAAAGATTTGAAGAAAACGTGTCCAATATCATACAAAACAGTGTTTTGGATAAATTTGTATACAAATATTTCAATAGATATAAACTAACAACAAAATAAGTTAGGCCTAAATTACCACCACTTTTAAGAATTCAGAAAGAAATGTTTTGTCAACATCTGAACCTTTGAGTTCATCTTTTGCGATTACTAAGTAAAACCAAAACAATATTGAGGTTGGAAATAGGAAGCAATCACACTCTCGCAGCTACACAAAAGTGAACTGACCTGAGAGACCTGACACCCCAAAAACTGGCCTGTTTGTAAGGAAAATCTAAGAAATTGCAAATTAGGTACATTAGGAGAAACATGCGAGAGGAATAACGGGACATCACTGTATTCTGTTCACTCATATTTCCTCATATTTACAGGGACCCCTGCAGGTACAGTCAACTGGGAGGTGCTGCAGAGACGACTGTCGCGGCTGGAGGAGGAGAACAAGTCCTTGCGATGTGAGGCTACACAGCTGGCCTCTCAGACTGAGGAGTGTGAGGCTCATGTATGTATCACTATTAAAGTTCAGATAAGTCCTTTCCATTTTCTCTGCAACTCAGGCTGTTATTTATTTATTAAGTTTACATTTTAACGGACAGCTTCATTTTGATATTGGTACAAACTTTTGATCAAGACTTTCTTAGGACTAGAACTAGAACCATACTATACAATGGTTAAGGATAAAAAAAAAATAACAACTACAAGATGTTCTATAATATATATTATAATCATTAGCTGTATGGTACATAAAATTTTACCATAGATTAAGCATAATCCCTTAGTAGATTTGTCATCCTTATAGATCAGCTGAAGACCATTTCATTGTTATTCTATCCGGTGCCTCTAGACGTTTGGTTCTGTTTACACTTTTTATCTTGTTAATAGCAGTTATTTCAATACTATGTCAATCAAATAAAACAATCTATTTAGAAACAGTAGCTGTAGCTGGTTTAGGTAATGCACAAGTTATAGAACTAGCCCTATAAGAGAATTTTGACAGCACTTGTACTCAGTGTCACTCTCGCTACTAAAAACACAGAAAACTACAGAAATTAGAGTGAGAGACCAACATAAACAAGACATAAATACCCAGCCGCAGCAAACCTGCTGACTAGGGATGGTCAAGTCTCGAAATTTCGGGAAATTTTCGGGAAATTTTCAATCTCGTTACACGAGACGAGATTACTTTTTGGCCGAGATTTTTATCAAGACGAGAATAAAAAAAAAAAAAAAAAAAAAAAAAAAAAATTAAAAACGCCTGCAGAAAGTTAATGCAATACCCGCAATACAGGAGCGTGTTGTAGTTGCGTTTCCTTTTCGAAGGCGTTCTTATTTAATTAATTCTTTTAATGTAAATATTACTTTAATTCTTTTAATGTAAATATTACTTTCATTATTTTAATAATATTACTTTATGTTTTAATTTAGGTGTTCACTTAATAGGGCTGCTGATATATTAAATATTTAAGTAAATAAGTACAACTGAGCACCCTGAATATTATATTTTATAAAAAGAAGTGACATGTTTCGGACATTAGTCCATTTTCAAACTTCAAAATACATTAAACACTTAACCGTTGTTTATATAGTTTGTTTGTAAATAAATATGATTTATATATACAGATGGTTTATAGAACTAGACAGGATTTGGAAAAACTTTTTTGTTACTGATTATTTAATTTTAAAATTTGGTCAAAGATTGGGTTTCTTGAAGGAATTTGGCTATTTAAAATATGATTTGGATTTTTTAGATTTTCTTCGTATATGAAATATTCTTCAGTTGAATCCATTCGATTTCCTTTGTTTAAAACTTTTAGAATTTTCATGTTGTTTTTTAAATTTGTGTAATTGTGGTTGGTCGATAAAAGGTGTTCAGCAAAGTTTGATTTCATGGATGTTCTGTTGTTACTCTTAAGAGCTTGAATGTGCTCTTTGAATCTAGATTTAAAAGAGCGTCCTGTCTGACCAATGTAGAAGTGTTCACAATCAGTGCAGTCAATTTTGTAAATGCCAGATTTGTCATAGATGTCTTGATGTTCTTTATTTGTATTAATGTTATTTGCTATCATATTGAAGGCATTATTTTTTGTTTTAAAGCCAATTTTGTATTCAGAATTTTGAAAAGTTTTTCTTGTAGTCCTGTTAAGAGTTGTATTGAATGGGATACTAATGAATTTAAGCAATTTTACTAATGGATATAAGCAAAACATTATCTACAATATGATTAAAAACATCAAAAGAAAGAAAAATCAAAATCAAGAACACAACAAAGAAAGAAAGAAGAAAGAGAAATTCATTAGTATCCCATTCAATACAACTCTTAACAGGACTACAAGAAAAACTTTTCAAAATTCTGAATACAAAATTGGCTTTAAAACAAAAAATAATGCCTTCAATATGATAGCAAATAACATTAATACAAATAAAGAACATCAAGACATCTATGACAAATCTGGCATTTACAAAATTGACTGCACTGATTGTGAACACTTCTACATTGGTCAGACAGGACGCTCTTTTAAATCTAGATTCAAAGAGCACATTCAAGCTCTTAAGAGTAACAACAGAACATCCATGAAATCAAACTTTGCTGAACACCTTTTATCGACCAACCACAATTACACAAATTTAAAAAACAACATGAAAATTCTAAAAGTTTTAAACAAAGGAAATCGAATGGATTCAACTGAAGAATATTTCATATACGAAGAAAATCTAAAAAATCCAAATCATATTTTAAATAGCCAAATTCCTTCAAGAAACCCAATCTTTGACCAAACTTTAAAATTAAATAATCAGTAACAAAAAAGTTTTTCCAAATCCTGTCTAGTTCTATAAACCATCTGTATATATAAATCATATTTATTTACAAACAAACTATATAAACAACGGTTAAGTGTTTAATGTATTTTGAAGTTTGAAAATGGACTAATGTCCGAAACATGTCACTTCTTTTTATAAAATATAATATTCAGGGTGCTCAGTTGTACTTATTTACTTAAATATTTAATATTACTTTAATAACATTTGAGAAGTTTTGTTAAGTGTAAGCAGTGTGAGGAATGTTTTATTACCATACAAAAAGTCAAAACAAGTAACTATTTTATAAAAATTAATATTGCTTTTATTTTATGATTTATTTTATTTTATGATAAGTTGAACTCTATCCTAACTGATATCACCATGTTTCCTAATCGTAGGCATTTTTTATAAGTTAGGCGTGATTAATAAAAAAATGTTATGCTGATGTTATTTAATGAAAGATTGTAAATATTCTTGCCTATTATCATTATTTTAGTATTTAAACAGTCATCTAACAATGTTACAAAATCAGGTAAAAATTTCGAACGTGCATTTCCCGTTGTGTATGAGAAGAGAAATCTCGTCTCGATCTCGTCTCGAAATTTTATGAGAAATAAAAAGTCTCGTCTCGTCTCGAACTAAAAATCCAATCTCGTCCATCCCTACTGCTGACTAAGCGGATTTCCATTTGTCTGCATTGATTTTCATTTTAATCTATTTCAATAACATTAGGTTTAAGAAGTACCTAGGTTTGCTGCTAAAAGGAACTAATAAAGTGTTTTTTCTAGTAAAATATTAATAGCTTAGTATAAGATAAATAAATTTGCCATGTTTTATCAAAATATATCTATAAACAAGCAAACAACAACATTTTACAATATTCTCCATAAGAATAACATTAGAATTTTAAATTTACAAATTTTGTTGAATTTTCTCCGTTACCAATAACTGTACAAAAACATGTTGTTATACTAATTTATTGTATGCAATTCGTATTTTCCGTACTAGTATATTACAATGGTTGGCCATATAAACAGCCGTTTTCATAAAATCGTACCTGTTGTGCAATCAATATTTCTTTCTAAATACCAAACCATAATGAAGATAAAATCAATGGCTATCCAGTGGTACCACCCGCAACATCCCAAGGCGAAAATTACCCTAGCAGGGTAATGCCAAACAAGACGTGTTTTGACAGTTCCCAAGTGTCAGCTGCAAAAGTCGTGCCATGCCAAAAATTCATTTGATTTCTAATCGTTGTGACATTGTTATATACCTGCTTAAGGGTTTGTTTATATAATAAGATGAAAGTTCAGAATGTGATCTTTCGAATGGTATATATATTGTTCACATCAGAGTTGATTATAAGCGGTTTTTTTTTTGTTAAAAAAATTGTTGCCCATACTATCCGTATTACGCTGGTGGCCATTCTAGGCATCACGAGCGTATTACGATCGTTGGCCACTGCTAGGGTTAAACCAAATTTCATCAAAATCAGACAAAAACTACTCAAGTTATCGTGTTTACGGACGTACATATATACATATATAAAAAATTGAACGAATAGTGTTTTTGGCCTCTAGGGACATCAAAATAGTGAGTCATAGTGAGGCATAGTGAGTCGGTGGCTCAGTCGGTAGCGTCGCGGACTTCGGGCCCAAGGCAGTAGTGTCGTGGGTTCGGATCCTGGTCACTGCCGATAACATTTTATCAGTACAGTTCACCTTTGTACTGTACCGGCTCACTCCTTGCTTTGCTGTAAACGATCCACGCACGGGCGCTTAGTCTATGTGGACGGGCAAATGCAAGGTTAAAAGAGGCCGCCAACCTCTTTAAAAAAAAAAAAAAAAAAAAAAAAAAAAAAAAAAAAAAAAAGTATTTACTGTTTAGGTTTTGATGTTGGTTTAAATCAGCTGAGACTTTTTTGGTGTGTGTGTGTGTGTGTCTGTATTCACCGAATAGTGGCATCCTTCACAGGCACACGGCCGTACTGTGGCACCTTCAAAAATTGTGGCACCTTTTTCAGGGTGCCACAGCTAATTCGATCATTTTTGAGGTTTTCCAGCATTATTACGTCGTTTAAACATCACATGCCACAATTGAGTATTTTTGGACTCGTTGATGGGAGTTTAAGTAGCGCAGGTACACGCCGAATTGTGGAACACGAAACCATACAGGTAGCTAGCGCGCCTCGCGCCGTCTGCCGGAACTATAACTTTCCTAATGCTACGTTGTCAATTCTCGCGCCAGCTTACACTCTAAATAGTGGCACCATGCCACAATTCAGTATATATCAACAGTGTGTGTACAGGATGCCACTTAATGAGTTGTAGCGCTTGAGCAGTGTGTAGAACAGTGCAACAAGCAACTAATAAACTAATAATACTGTACTGCCACGTACTATAAAACAATTTAAGTACCATAAATAATATACTTTTGCTCCGAGTGGTGAACAATGTTTTACATTAAAAATAATTTGTGTTCTAAATAATTATTTAAATTGTTTTTATGCTACCATTAAAAGATGTATTTTTGTTTACAAACATAAATTGGTAACGTACCGTAGTTACTTTGTATCAATTGAATTTTTACATTGAAACAATAACAATGTTTTAGGTTAGAACACTATATAAGTTGTCCTATGCTGCAATTTTTTATCTTACAAACTATTTCGTGCTGACATCTGTTTTATTAACATTCTAG